ATATTACGTCCAGCCCACGTCTGCTATGCTCTACCGGGGACTCTACCGCATGTCACCTCTCTCCAGATCATTCCATTACAGTCTTGAGGCATCTCTTGACATTCTCGCAGGCTCCGTTTCCTTGCGTTCGATTCCCAGCTCTAAGCTGCTTCGCCATGGAACCATACTTGAGAAGATCGCAAGAATGATTTCGGAGGTATAGCTGGAACCAGTTCCCTCTGTGCAAAGCATCATCCCTCAACACTGCAAGTACCCTGATCTATGGTTTCAATGGCATTGTGCAAATTCGCGAATGTGTCTGAAAATTCAATATACAGGTTCAGTATACATTCACAACAGCATCAATGTGGACAAGTGCACAAGACCAGAGACCCGGGGAAGTGGGTCCCCTTTTCCGGGGGGGGGCGAAGACGAAATTCGAAGACGAAATTTGAAGACGAAATTCGGCCCAGCCGAAATTAGGCCCTGAAGACGAAATTCGGCACTGAAGACGAAATTCGGCCCCTGAAGCCTAAATTTGGCCCTGAAGCCTAAATTGGCCCTTGAAGCCGAAATTCGGCCCCGAAGACGAAATTCGGCCCCGAAGACGAAATTCGGCCCCTGAAGACGAAATTCGGCCCTGAAGCCGAAATTCGGCTCCTGAAGACGAAATTCGGCCCGGAAGCCTAAATTCAGCCCTGAAGACGAAATTCGGCCCTGAAGCCGAAATTCGGCTCCTGAAGACGAAATTCGGCCCCGAAAACGAAATTCAGGGCCATTTTATGCAGGCCTAAGGGGGACCGAAACCGAATTCAAGCTTCAGGCCGAATTTCGTCTTCGGGACCGAATTTCGTCTTCAGGAGCCGAATTTCGGCTTCAGGGCCAAATTTCGTCTTCAGGGCTGAATTTAGGCTTCCGGGCCGAATTTCGTCTTCAGGAGCCGAATTTCGGCTTCAGGGCCGAATTTCGTCTTCAGGGGCCGAATTTCGTCTTCGGGGCCGAATTCGTCTTCGGGGCCGAATTTCGGCTTCAAGGGCCCAATTTAGGCTTCAGGGCCAAATTTAGGCTTCAGGGGCCGAATTTCGTCTTCAGTGCCGAATTTCGTCTTCAGGGCCTAATTTCGGCTGGGCCGAATTTCGTCTTCAAATTTCGTCTTCGAATTTCGTCTTCGACCCCCCCCGGAAAAGGGGACCCAGTTTTCCGTGTCAATGCACAAGACAGAAGCCCAATCAGTGTATGAAGGGCGCACATGGCTGTCCACTCACCACCATGCTGCTCCAGATCTGCTGTCAACCAAGGAACCGGGCCAATTGAAACACGGTAGATGTGTCGAGACTGTTCATCGCATCTTCTGTGAATAGCATGTGAAGTATCTAGCATGACTGCTGATCCTTAAGGGACTGCTGTTCACTCCAAGTCGTTTGCTGAATGAAAAGAACGGCGTCACAAATGAAAGACTCTCACACACAAATGCATATCCCACTTGCGCATGTCGAACGAGGACTACTGACTACTGCCAGGGCACAAACCGCGACTTGACAGCGAGGCAACCCCGCCTACACTGTTCTCTTCAATCTTTCACATGCCCTCTTTGACGATGGTTGCCTACTCCTACTTGTTGGTTGAATGCTTTCAGGCGCCGTGGCACTTCGTGTGTAGTGCGGCGCTTCGTCCCAAAAGCACTACCAACACACATGTTTGTCAAAAGCTTCGACTATCCTATGGAGCCAGCCAAGAAGAGGCGCACATTGGATTACCTCAAGCTCCCACTTCCCCTCACCACCGACGGCTCGTGCATCTTGCTCACTGTCTTGAACCAGAGGAAAGCGCCCCTCACTACTTGAAGGACGCACGGGTTCACTCGGCGGAAGGCATACTACACCCGTGTTGAAACTGGGGACTTTCTTAGTTGCAGAAGCGGGGTACTGGGGCCGGAGTCACAGTGACAGACTACGCAGCTGACTTTTTGGTCTGAGCCCAAGGCGCCTGTAATACGGGACATGTGTTTACGCCATTGCTGTACTCGAATACATGACTGTGCATGCCTATGCAAGTGTTCTACATACAGCTTCTACTCGACACGAAATCCATCTACTCAACACGAAATCCAACTCGGCGCCTCTAAGCAGGAAAATCTCACACCCGTCTTATCGGCGAGTGGATGAGTGCGCCTCAAACTAAAGTGAGACTAGCCACTCAGCTGGTGCTTCTTCCTTGACGACGGCCTCGTTGCTCTCTAAGGCGTCGTTCAGAAGCTTGGGCTTCATACTCTTGGTCAAGCAATCCGCCAACTGAAGGTGGGTTGGAATCCAGCGCAGGATGTCACCGAAGGGCGTAAAGGCCTCAGTTGCTGGCGTGTCGGCAATCCACAGTGCTTGGCGCAACGCTGTCATCTCGATAGCGAGACGCTTGTCCTCCACTGGTCTGGGCACTGACGACAACAAGTGGTCTGTGAGCGACCTACAGTCGGAGTACTGCAGGTGTAGCATCTTCCTCGGTGCCAACTCACTCCAGTCATGCAACGATGGCAGCTTGCCTTGCAACTCAAGGATTGCCGCACGGATCCTGTCACCGCGCTCGATTGCGTGTTGCAAACTAAATGCCTCACACTGAAGCGTCGATCGGCAAACCCTCTTCATTGTAGAGCTACCAGACGCCACCAAATGAAGCTTGTGCTTGTTTGCATTTACATCACGAGCAGTTTCCGCATCAATTTATCAATGAGGTAATGCAATCTTCCTCTCTGGGACCTGTACCCTCCTAAACCCTAAACCCTAAACCCTAAACCCTAAACCCTAAACCCTAAACCCTGCCTAGGCCGCCCCCCACAGAGGGGGGGCGGCGCTTAAGCCCTTCGACCTCTATGGCGAAACTCGACCCAGGTCGCTTGCCCGTCTCCTGCAGCCCGGAGGTCGGTAGCACCCACGATGGGCCAGGTACCGGAACAGGTTCTCCCGGGGCAGCGGGATACCCTTCCATGTCTTCCGCAGCGTTTGAAAGGTGAATGGCAGGGACCTCATCATCTGAAGTATCACTCAGTGCAGCAAGATGGGCTTGCGAGGCAGATGCGGCTCCGGATTTCCCAGGTGTGGCGCCCTTCTCTGCACCTGAGCCACCCTTACCCGAACCACTCTTAGAACCTGCGGGGCTACCCTTGAGCCGGCACTCGGCATCGCCGGCCCAATGGCCGATTGCACCGCATCGCCCGCATCGCCAATGGCTGCGATCCTTCAGCTCGGCAAGTTTGGCTTTCCTGTCGGCGATAGAGAGATTGGATGGAGGAACCTTACCACCCTTCTTACCGCCTGTCTTACCTGAACCCTTCTGCTGACCGCCCTTCACATTGGCAAGTGTGGTTTGGGCCGCATACGCCAACTGCAAAGCTTACCATCTCTCGACGACGTGGATTGTGCGCCGGCCTGGCGGCCGCGTCGGCGTCCTGAGGCACTTGAAGGACTAGCCGCTACTCCACTACTCTCGTCACCTGTGTGACGGTCCGGGGATCTTATGCCACCTCCGACCCACTTTCGCGGGGACGCAGACCGACTGAGTTGGTGATTGGAGCGAAGGTCTTTCAAGACCTCGCGATGCTGGGACACACGTGCACGTGTGCGGAACTCCCAGTCGTGAAAGGATGCGGCAGAGCCGCTGTAAATGTAGCTCCCCGACTTAGTCTCTGCTGGGGTGTCTAAACTCAGCACGGGGTCATACATTGCGTCGGACTTGCACAGTGCGATAAGCCTAAAGCAGACAGGCAGTGCTGCTATTCGTTCGGCTCTCCTGGCTCACACCCAAATTCGCCTTAGCTCTCTCTTCCGGAACGAGATTGCGGCAAGGAATGAAAAACGTGTCACTGAGCTCCACAGCTCCGCTACCAGTTTCAGAAGCGGGGTACTGGGGCCGGAGTCACAGTGACAAACTACGCAGCTGACTTTTTGGTCTGAGCCCAAGGCGTCTGTAAGTCGGGACATGTGTTTATGCGACTGCTGTACTATACATGACTGTGCATGCCTATACAAGTGTTCTACGTACAGCTTCTACTCAACACGAAAACAAGCTTCCGAAGATGCACTGGCTCAATCCGCCGAGGCCTCGGGCCGGGTTGTCAGCCCCCAAGCCCATATGTCGGACCCTTTTTTACCTGGAAAGGGTAGCCTTTCGTGGGCGACCACGACACCCCCCCACCCCCCTACCCCCCTTTCCACCCACTTTTCTGCCTCCCTCCCCTCCCCCCGTCCCCCGCCCCCCCTGCCCCCCGCGCCGCCCGCCCCTGCCCGCCCCCGTTCTGGACCCCCTCCTCGGGGCTCTCGCCTGCGCTGCCACTGTCAGGGGCCTGGCTCAACTTTACGATCAATCCAAGCCGAACCGTCTCAACCCTCAACCTTGAACCTTGAACCTTGAACCCTAAACCCCAAACCGTGAACCTTGAGCCCTAAGCCCTCAACCCTAAACTTACCCTCAACCCTAAACCCCAAACCATAAACCATAAACCATAAACCCGGAACCCTAAACCCTAAACCCAACCCTTATTGCTTGGGGTCCAGCGACTTGGGCGCTGCGGAATCACCATGCTCACGCGGATGCGCTGGGCCGGGCCGAGGCGGGTCGTGTAGCGTTAAAATTACATGTACAAACCTGTGCTCCTATATCAATGTATTGCGTGGACCTGTCCTCTCGGGCAACCTGGAAGGCCCCCGTGGAGCATCCCTAGCTGTCTGAGGGAACGCCACACAAATTGGTGAGTTTTAGGATGGCGATGATCGGAACAAACAATCCTGATAACCCTGCTCGCAAGCTGTCTGATCTTACAGCGCAACATACAACAATTTTTGTCTTCTAAGACGTAAGGATGCCAGCAGTCTATGACTGAGTGGCTGCCCAGCCAACATTCGGGCTGTGCTAAGCTGACTAGTGCAAGGTGTTTTTTTCGCTCTGTACCAACACCCGGCACGACTTGCCCTCTACAGCTGCAGAAGAACTATCGCTTCGACTTGAAGCAAGGCAAAGCGTCTCTTGCCATGCTAATTCTTCGACCCGTTGCCAGCTTTCCGCTCCAGCTCCCTGCCAATGCGACCGGTGCAAGACTAACAGGACTAAACACAACAGACTGAAAAACACACAAAAGGTAGCTGAGTCCCGGCGCTTCTGCGCCTGATGGTCTGCTGACTCCTCTCAACGGCCTTCTCAATCATCGGCTGCGCAGTGCGCATCGCCTTAACTTTGCACCATCAAGCCTAGTAGGGCCTAGTAGCTACGAAGCTTCAAAGCCGTCACGATCTGGGGCTACAGCTTCATCAAAGGCGCCCTGGGCTCTTCTGGAGGACTCTTGCGCGAATCTGCAGAATGCGGGACTGCTCAGAAGTGCTTCCTGTCAAGGCGGCATGTGAGATATCTGACACATATCTGACACATATCTGACATATCTGACATATCTTTGCAGTCGCTGCACATGTCTCCTCTGCCGAGCCTTCGTGTACTTTGCAAGGTGCCCACTTAGCAGCGCTGCAAGCATCCCAGGAGGACTGACAGTTCCACTTTCAGAGACAGGTTCAAACATGCAATGATGTTTCAAACAATCCGCCCTGCCCCGCGCCAACAACTGTTTCTGGAGTTTGGTCCTCGAGTCCTCTTGTGTTTGTGCCATCAGGCAGCTGTACAGCAGCACGGACACTAAAGACTACATTGAAAGGAATGCCTTTCAAGTCATCCCCTCTGGAAAGCCTGCTCCACTGCTCCACTAAACCTGTACAGATGTTGTCGAGACTCCACGTCTAACTCGCATATGGCAGTTTGCCATGCTTCTGAAGCAGTGATCACGGTGCCTGCGTTGGGCCTTAGCCATATGTGAAAAACCCATGAGGCGAAACCAGGCAAGGCAGGCCAAGGAACACAGCTTGATCAGTGAGAACAAGCTGAGAACTCCGCAAAACGTGTGGCCATGGGGGAATGCGGATCAATGTCCAGGGTCCTGCAGCTCACACGGCTGCTCACATTGAGCTACATCAGATACATTCTTGATGCAATCGAACCTCCATGGCCCCGTCCTCCAGCGGTCCGTCTGTAGGTCTTCCAGCTGCTGCATGGAAATGCCGCTGCGCGCGGCTACAATGGCTGTCCCGAGAAAGAGCCAGAAAGTAGACCTCAGCTGCAGACCATAATTGGCCATAGCTTCAATCATCTTCAATCCATAGCTTTAACAGCTGTTTTTGTCGCTGCCTTCGGCATGCTCAGCTGAAGCGCCTGCTCCGTGAGCTGGGGATCATCGAAGATCGAATCCATCTCGCCGGCTGAGCGAACTCGTTGAACTCGACCCCTTCCTGCACCCAAAAGAAAGACCCATGATACGTTTACCCAATCCTTCGACGAAACTCGGACAACACTCACGATGTCACCTTCTCCAGTGGTGGCATCATTGTGCTCATAAACATCCATGTTCCTTTGTGGAAGACAGTGTGTGATACAAGCAACACAGCTGCCTGCATGAGCTGTAAGCTGCCCGAAATTACCCCAACATGCTCGAACTGGCTCGAACCTTTTCCATCGATTCCATCGCGGACTTTCGGCTCGAGCCTCGATCCCGATCTGGAATCCGGCCAATTTTCACGGCCCCCTTTCGACATCAGACGTGGAGTCATATGGAGTCATACGGAGTCAATGGCACTGGAACCCCAAGTGCTGACAGCTCTGACAACTCTGACAACTCTGACAGCGTCAGCTCAACAGTTTCGTCGAGCAAGGCACTCAGGAAGTGCCAAAGCCCCGCGCCTTCACACGTAGACGCTACAGCAGCTTGAATTGTGGCATCACGCTGGCACTGTCTGTCCATACATGCCACTAGCTGGAACATGCGCTCCCAGCGAGAAGGCATCAGTTCGTATGACGTGAGGGCAGCACCACATGCAATCAAATTCGGTTGGATGCCACTAGTTCCCATGAGGTGGAGCACATACAACGGCTCTTGCCAACGATGCGACTTCTGACATGCACTTGCCGCAGCTGTGCAAAGAATGCTATCTGGCCGTAGCCTGGATCGAGTACATTTTCCCAGGAGAAAAAGCGCAAGATCCCACTTTGCAGCACACTCAGCCGCCCACACCGCCTCGCTCAAAGTGAGAAGTGTGAGCTTCTCTCGTTCACAAACGGTCCAGATATCCAGTGCCATTTCCCAGTGGTATGCCCTTCTACATGCGCGCATCAGGGCACTGTAGGTCACGTCGTTCGGTTTGGTCAGCATAGCCTGGGACTCCAGGAACAAGCACAATGCCAACTGCCACTGGCTGCCTGTTTGACATGCACCGATGGCACAGTTCACACATGCACTATCCAACACCACCTCCGCACACCATTCACAGCAGAGGACTTGAAATGCGACTTCCCAGCGGCCAGCTGCTTCGCAGGCAGAGATGGCAGATCCAAGTGCAACTTCATTCGGCTTTACGAGTGACTCGCAGAGATCGAAGAACAGGCGTAGAGCCCGCTGCCATGCCCGTGATCCACCGGATCCACTGGATCCACCGGATCCACTGGATCCACAGGCCCAAACGGCTGTGCTGCAGGCATACGACTCGACCTCAAGCTTCTGGATCGGCAGCGCCTCCAGCAGTGCAAGTGCGTGCTCCCAGCGGCCAGCCTTTCCACAAGCGCTCATTGCCGCACAAAAGCTCTGGAGGTTCCGCTCTGATCTTTGAGCACCCATCGAAAACAGGATGTCCAGGGCACGGAGCCACTGCCGGCCACGCTCGCAAGCCGCGATTGCAGCTCCGAACGTTACCACGTTGGGCAGCACAGCGAGGCCCTCCATCCTTTCAAAGACTTCAAGGGCCCGTTGCCACTCACTTCCGCAAGCTGTGATTGCGGAACTGCACACGAATACATTCAGCTCCAATCCTGCCATCGACACTTCTTCCAGAAGATGAAGAACAGCACACCAAACGTCCACACAAGAGGAGATAGCTGTGCCATACGACACGATGTTTGGCTGCAACATCTGCGCCTGTATCTGTTGTAGTAGTTCTATGCCAATTTCCCAACAGCTTGCCCGGGCGCAAGCATTCAAGGCACCGTTGAATATTACGACATCCGGCTGTAACTCCTTCGAGATATCTTCCAACAGCTGCAAAGCTTGCTTCCAGCGAGTTTGCCTCGCACATGTCGTAATTTGCCCAGAGCACAAAACCAGTCTCTGTAGTTTTGCCATTGAACATGCTCAAAGCGGCACCATGCAGTCTTGCGATGACACCAGTCAACTAATTGTGCGCTAGACTGCTTCAGCTGGTACATCTCTGAATGTCAGGATGCTCTGCAAATCACGGGGGGGGTGATAACGAACCTTTCCAAAAATGTAGCCAAGGTAGCCCGATGCGGCTTAACTCCATGCGCGCGCAACGCTGCAACCGGGCATTTTGGACAACCTTGCATACAAAAAGTTACGACAGCCTGGCCGCAACAATGAAGGTCCTCTTCCGGAGTGGCAGCGCGTACTTTTTTTTGATTGCAAATTTATTCCAGCAACAACCGCAAACAGAAAAAAAGATCGAATCGGAGCGACCAAAGCTGAAAACTGGCTGTGTTCCATGTGGATTCGCCACGGGTGTGATTCTGGAAGCTCGGTGCAGAAGCAGGCAAGCCCGCAAACAATCATCAAGCATCAAAAAACACAACGCCCTCGAAAACGCAAAATCTGCGCTGCACAAGTAAGGCGTGATTTGGCACAAGACAACCACTACATCATGGCGCAAAACGGGGCATCTGGCATTTCACCCAATCAAAGGCTGTTGGCTGGACAATGGGTTTCTCATTCTTTGGAATTGGTTGGTCAGAATCCATAATACCATGCCTGAAATGACGGAGAGAGGTGCGAAAAATCTTGAAACCTTCCGCTCGACTGCTCGACGTTAAACGAAGCTTCGGCAAAAAAATGTCAGCCAAGCAAGGGCAAGATTAAACAAGAACCGCCAGGACTCACGACTCGCAACTTCAATCAACTTGACCACAACACAAGAAACGCGAAAACATGCGAAAACCAAAAACCAACAATCGGCAACAAGAAACTCAAAAGACCGCCGGAAAGCCATGAACGGAATCAGATGTAGATGATGTACCCTTTTTTGCCGGACCACAGCGGCCCATTCGGAGCAAACCCTAAGCCCTTCCTGTTGTGGGAATATCTGAAGATCTAGTTGGATTTGGCCGTGCTGGCTGAAGCCGGTTCCCGAATGAGTAGCGAAGGGCCTTTCGTTTTGAGAGTATTGGGGGGGGGTCTGGGGCTGGGGGTAGGGAAGTGACCCAAGTCCATGCTTTTAGCACCAGCGTCCCTCCAAGAGTCCGCCTAGCGCTCATTCGCGACCAAACTTTTGAAGCTTGAAAACCACAAGGACGAGCGACATGCGACCACTTCCCACCAAGAGCCCACCAAGAGCCCACCGGCCCAGCAACAGAACCTACTGAGAGCCGACCAAGAGCCAAGCCTGGGCGCCCAAAAAAGGGAAGTATGGCGACAGGTGACCATCCGGAGCCAAATTGCAATGGCTGGCAAATGAGCTCTTCGGCATCTGGACAATGGTGCATTGCATCTGGCGCCCTTATGCATTCTGGAGTTCAGCCACGTCACCCTTCATGGAGAAATGTCATCAAGTCATGGGCGAACCTTGCTGGATGCAAATGTGCACAACACTCGGCACATGGCACATGTTGTAGATAAATTACAAACAAAGACGCTTGCGCCGCCGTCAGCTCCTCGGACCTTGCTGTCCGGGGCAGTCGCCAAGGAGCTTGGATACGTTTGAATCAGGAGCTGGGTCTTCCGTAGGTGGACGCCTGCCCCTGCCGAACAAGGTTTCATTTTGCTGCTCTCAGATGAAGTCTTAGCGACAGCAATGCCCGACCTCTTACATTTTGTAGCATGCATCAGCACCTCAGGCTCCGTGGTTTCGACATGGAGACATCTTCCGAAGAGCTGGTAAAAGCGTACGTAGTAATTCCACGACAGCCAACCAACGAACATCCGAAGCACAGAGCAAATCCGTCGCTTGGACAGCAACTTGCGAGCACCGGCCTCAAGTCTCAACGTCGGAGCGAATGTCTCACAAAGTTCTCAAAACACACACGGATCCCTTTTCTGATGTGGACTCGGTGTCCCTTGGGGTGTCGACTCTTCTGATCGATGGTCTGAGGCCGGCACGAGCGTGTTCCTCTCAGCGCCGTTGACACTCAGCTTGAGCGCATCGATGCGTGGCCAGATCGCTGGAACTTCAGTATCCAATGCCAGCTCCAAAGCTGGTATGGTCACAACCTCCCTTCTGTCTTGTGACGGAAAATCGCGTCCATTCACAGTGGCCTGCAGAGAGCAGATGTACAATGTCTCCATCATTCTCCATCACTCAAGGCCGTCCTGACCATTGTGACCCCGGAAATGGATCAGCTCGGTCTGCCCAGTTGTCTCACCAAGCGCTGCGTTGCGCACGTGTACAGATGAAGACAAGCCATTCTCGGCGACACTCCTCATGCAGAGACTGAGGGCAGTCACAAAGACTTCCTAACAGAAGCACACCAGGTAGCACACCATGTAGCACACCCTGCTGCCAAAGTTCTGCTGGAAAAGGGTGGCCGCATCCGGCAGTGGCTCGAAGGCCAGCGCCCTCGTCTGCACTCCTGCGAGGCCTGCACTTGCGGTTTCGCGAAACCGCACAAACAGCATGCTAAGCAACATGCAAACAGGTGCTGTCATGTGCTATCACCTGCTACCAACACATATATCGCACTCTTCCGCAGAGACACGGAGGCTCGCAGATGCCCACAATGCACAGTCACCCAGGTGTGGGCCTCCAAAACAAATCGCATCCAAAGCACCCGTAACGTTGTAAAGCACCCGAAAAAACACCCAACAATACAAATCCCACGAGAACCTCCTTCGACGAAAGTGAACTTGCATGTCTCCGCGTCGCCCGAGAAGGCGGCATTATTGGCGCAGCCCGCTTGCAGCGCATTCTTCGCAATGTCAGCCACCATACGCATAAACGGCCGCAAGCCACAAAAGGGAAGCCTTGTGTAGCGCACCATGTCACTCACCATTTCTCGGTATGGGTTCACTCGGAATATGTAACCTGGGCTCGGCGGAACTAGGAAGGATTGTGGACTGGAAGTAGGAAACAACTCGGACACACCCATCGAACACGCGTAAACACACATTAGCACACCCTTCGCGAAACGATTTGAAGCAGATGGTTTTTTACTGTGAGATGCACTGCAACTCTGGAGTGAAGCTTGCTCGCCAAAGATGCTACAGATATCTACAGAGTGTCAGGGATAGGGGACATCAAAAAAGTTAGCCAGCGAACGGCAATGAGTTGAACATCCGAGATGTAAGGTTTCCATGCAAGGTTTGCGAGGCTCGCTTCTTTCCTGAACACCAGCAAGATGTTGCAAAACAAGGAAATGTTCTCTGAAACCTTAGAAGACACTTGGTAAGATCTTATGGAGCTGTTAAGATAGAGTGTGGGGGGTGCTCAGGGTCGGAGCTTTGCCCCACTTGCAATAGCAATGGATCTGTGGGATGGCTGATTGAGATGTATCACTTGATGTGACAAGTATTCATAGGGCCAAACTGCAACGTGCGGAAAAATTGCTGTACAACGATGTGCTTCCTGGACAGCTCTCAAGCTTAAACAGCTGAAAACCATGTTTCTTTCTGTCAGGCCCTGACAACGGGCTTCCTGCCAAACCATAACTTGAGAAGAACTGGGTGATGGGCTTTGGGAGCCCGACAACGCTTGTTTTGGCTGACAAGGAGTTGAAGTCTGAGCAAAGCCAACAGAAATCCTACAACTGTGTGCTCTTCGGCGTAGGCGAGCTGGAGGTAATCCTAATACAGGAGCATCTGCGCTTGGCGAGGCTGAAACCACCCCTTACAGCGTTGCCATTTCCAAGCGCACCCCCCCCCCCACCCCCCCGCGTCCCCACTCGCTACACCCCGCGAGTCCTGCTACGGCGTTGTGCTCGCTGGGTCAGTGTGTTCTCCAGGCCTTCCAAGCCAGTGGTGCAGGTGATTAAAACCTTTCCCAACCTTGGCAATAGCATGCAATAGCGCTTCCAAAAAAGCGTTTCCTCGAGATTCGCGCAACTCTCTCAAAACTGAAAGCTTTTCAAGGCCGCCCGTAGGCTCGTTTTGTGCTTCACATCACACCACTTCCTGCACCACCGGTCCTACACTGCTACATGTACCAATGTACCTGCAACGTCCAAAATAGAACTTCCCCGCATCTATCAGTCATCGGGGGAGAATATGCGCCATCTGCATCTTCCAGATTGCAGTGCAATGCAACAACGTGCTGGAGATTTGCGGTTTGCGAACCTGCAACACAAGGGGGCCGCCTGGGACACTTGCAGGTTTGGGTTTTGGAATTGACTCAAGCAATGCTGCCTGACAGTCCGTGAATTGGAGCGAAAACCAAAGCTTAGGGCCGAATCTTTTGATATCAGAAACCTCGTTCGATTTCTCAATCACAATTTGTTGTTTCCAACGCGGCATCTGCGCATTTTCGCATTCTGACGATGATGAGCTCGTGGTTGCTGACTGCTCGTGACTGATCGTCGTGGCAAGCTCCAACATTGGGAGGAGATTTGCCAACACACAGGCCTGCATTCAGTACAACATTCGATACAGCATTGTATGCAGCAGACCTACAGGAAAACGATGACAGGCATTCTACAATTGGGGCCAAAACAAAAACACGGACGTGGCACGGACACTTCCAAGGTTCATATGCCCTCTAAGTCCTCTGATGAGCCCTCAAACTAGCTCTCAAATGACCCCGAACGTGAAACTGTTGCGGCTGCTGTCGATCACTCTGCAAGCTCGAGCAACTTCTGGCTTCAGAATCGCTCCCACTGTGGCCGCTTGCTGTCGTCATTGCTCGCTCCAGCAGCGGGTGTTCCTGCAAATGAAGCAAAGGATTGACGTTGCCACGCAGCAGGACCCAGAACAGCTGGCACCTTTGGCAACTCCAATATAGTTTGCATTGCATTCGCGACCTGAGCAGCATCTTTCCAGAGCTCCGAATTCGGGGAGGAACGGAAGTTCCTCAGAAGCTGACTGGCAGCACAAGGCGCCCAGGATAGCTGAGCAGATCCAGCACTTCGGTAAATGGCCAAGGCGAGGCCATCAACAGGCCCAGTGCACCGAGACCAGATGCCTTGCCCTCGGAATCCATTGCCTGGCCTGAGGAATGTTACAACTCTAGCCCTCTAGCTGCTGCGCGCACATCTGCATGCGTGCACTCGAATGCAGTGCGAACACATGTCGGGTCCCTGGAGCCAAAGCCAAGTGTCGGATGCTGGCCTCGCCGACTCGCAGCAAGCTCCGGGCTTCCATTCCAGGCCCAGGTGGTGCCCCTCCACTCCACAAACATCCCCCGCACGACAGCGTTTCTGACATTGTTTCTGACCCATGAGAAGCTTTGCCTGCCTGATGCTGTCAACTTCTCGTGGTACGGGTGCTATCCTACCGGCCGAACTCTCAGGTCAATTTATGCCTGGCACTTGTGCGAGGGCTGCTTCTTCTGGAAGAAATGTCTGCTGCAGCATGGACTGTGCCGCGAGCCTCAAGGCATCACAGTGGGGGGCACTAAATTCACTAAATCCAGCCAGCTCTGGCAGCAACAGTCTAGTCGGGGGTTCTCGTTCAGACCGAGCGTCAAGAACAGACCAGCACGGGCCAGACTGCAATTGATGGCTGTGCTTTCATCCAGCAAAGCCTGCAAGAGGCTGGTGATGCCTGCGGAGGCAAGGTCATTCAGAACGGAAGGGCTGAAACAAGGAAGCAGCATCAGTGCTTGCACTCCGGGCTGGACATGTGCCATACACTAACGCACCAAAACCACTCCTATCGGGACGAAATTCACAGCATCTGCGACGATCTGATAGATCCTGCAGAAACAGAAACCGCGAGCCAGCACAAAGTTGCACAAAGATCCGCGATCGATGTCTTGCTGTATGTTCTCCTTGCAGCGTGGGTCTGAGCAGCTGGTACCCGTAGACATTCGGCGTTGCCCCAAGTGCCACCCAAGCGCCGTTGCACAGCTCCACGGAGGTTGCTCATCTGCATACCAATGCGACAGGACTGACTTCACAAACTCACGCCGCACGACTATGTGATGCAACATTCCCATGGAGCCTGGTTGAAGATCATCCATCCAGAAGTTGCAACGCCAAGAAGGGACACTGACTCAACCCGCAGAAGTAGCTGCATCATCTCCTGTGCCCTCGCGGGAAGCAAGGAGCGCAACATGGCAAATAACACAACACAATGCATGACCAGGATGTCGCAAAAGGCACTGAAAGACTGTGATCTTGCAACAGTACAATTGTGCTTGTTATCATTGTTTCATTGTTTCACGCAGTCATTGATGGGTGGTTTCAAGGGATGTGCGCCTCAACACATGTGTTCACTCATATCCGACACCAGAGAACGTCTCCTTTGAAATGATACGTGCAGTGCTGCCAGCAAAGCAGGCACAAGCCGGCGGAGCTTGCGGAATGCACTGCTGCTAAATATCCATGAATTTGCACAAGTCCGACTTTGCGGCCGTGCGGAGAGCTGTTCCAGTAAGAATGCAACAAGCTGGCATTTGCAACACAATAACGAACGATCCCAGCAGACTTCCGGTACTTTTGTCCAACTTAAGATGTCCAAGGATGCCTGATCTGCCATGATCTGCGATGCTTGTGATGTGAGGTTCCTTCATGTTGGGGCCGAGTTTGGCCGAGCAGGCTTGGCTTCCCGGCTTCCATTTGTTCAATTTGTTTAGAACACGTCTCTTCTTCAACCCTCCTTGTAAAAACCCTCTTTCCTCAGGAAGCTCGGCAACTTGTGCAAGTCAGGTGGCACCTGCAGGGCAAAGTCAGCTCGGCCGGTTCTGTTGCATTTTGTTTTTCTCTTGTGCATTCTTGGCATACACGTGCAATCCGGCTGTCCTTGGAATTCGACATCTTCAGTGATGCATCCAGCAGCATCATGGAGAGCGCCCCCAGCGGGCAAGCACCGAGCATCGCCACCGAAAGTTGCAAAAAGGGCATGTAGAACGGACGTAGGTCCTGCAACAAAGGAGGATGACACCAAAAGAAGCACATCACAATGCTGCAAGCAAACGCTGCTGCAAGCCCACCTGATTCAACATTACTGCTTGACGAAATTTGCCTGCCAGTATAAGTGCGTAACTTGCACAATCAAACTCGCCTGGCTGTTTTGCATATTGAACAAGCTTCACATAACCTATCTCTCTCTAAAGAATGCAACCAAAATCTGCCAGAATGCAACCAAAATCCGCCGAAGCCTCGGGCCGTAGGTGTCCGGGCAGCAGAAAACAGGTACCCCACCTCTCATCCCCCCAACACGCCTTCTTGCGCGCCCTGCGTGCGGGAGCTGACCTTGCATCAGCTCAGCCACAGGCACCCGCGGCCCACAACCCCCCCCCCTCCCACCCACAAACACCGCGCCACTGTGCAGGCGCCACTGTGCGGGCCCCTGGCCGAGCGGGGTCGGGTAGCGATACCATGTCAAACTTTCAGGAAGATGTTAAACAGGGGGGAGGGGCGCTTTGCAGCCCGCATCGGAAACAAACAAGCAGCACACAAGCAGCGCAAAAAACAGCACAGAAGCACCACACAAGCTGTCAACCATGACAGGCCAAGCTGCACCACGTGAACGAGCCGCCCTGAAATGCAGGTGGCCCCAGATCAGGCACTGCACAGCCACAATCCAGATCCTTATACCGCTGCTGTGGGAAACACATGTAGGAGTCCTAGGAGACATGACGACGCAGCTCTTCTCAGCTCAGCATCGTTGTCGGCTAGCTTTTCGATATGTCGAGCCTTATCACCATTGAAAGCATGCTTTGCGCTGGAAGGAGCCATGACATGCTGACTGTGAGTGATTGCGCGAGGCAAGGAGCATCTGCATCGGATAACAACGACTCTTGCAAGCAGCAGCTTTCGTAGGTGAATGTGCCACCCCAGCACTGCGTAGGGAATGCTCCGTGTCAGTGTCCAAACAAGCAATAGATAGCGATGAACGTCCTTTGAGAAAGCCTTGCCTCTGCATTTTCCACCAAACAACACCGAGCAAAACTGTACTCTCCTGACCAGCCTTGCAATGCGAGCACAGAATGCAAAGTTCGCAATTCACAAACATCCTCTCATGCTTGTTTGTGGGAACGGTATGGCAATGTAAGGCCATTTTCTGCCAAGCTTCAAGAATTTGCACTTCGGCAACTCCAAATGGAACAGGCGAAAAACAAGGCAGGCAATAGAGACATGATCAACGCTGGAGAATGTATCGACACGGGTGTGCTCAGCGCCCAATCCAACACTGCAAAATGACTGTGACTATGACTATGACTATGACTATGACTATGACTATGACTATGACCACGACCATGACTATGACTATGACTGTGACTATGACTATGACTATGGCTATGGCTGTGGCTATGGCTATGACGATGACGATGACGATGACTATGACCATGACTACGACTATGACTATGACCATGACTATGATTATGATGCGGAACCCATCTAGATTCATTAACATGCTCGCATCAAGCTTGTCATTCAAACAGTGGCGTTTTCAAGCCTAAACGGCTGAAATACGTTGACGCCAATGCCACCAATTGGTGAAAACATGCCGAAAGCATGACATCCCACTGCAGAATGCCTCATCGCGCTGCCTGGAGCGGATGGTGCAGGCGCAGCGTTTGAAGCCCACATAAAACTAAATGCAACTAAGGAGCTCACGGCACTGTGCGCACAATCGGCCAAACTCCGAAGCTACAAAGTATGCTTTCCATATGCGAACCATGCCGAGGATATCATGCAAAATTCCATCCAAATTCAGCGTGGCAGCAGTCTGGCATTAAAGGTGACAAAACCATGTGTCCAACAAAATGCATCAACATGCTTCAAACAAAATACGCCATATGATAGTCATGTGAATCTGCTCGGACATTGACAACAGTATCCGCTGGTGAAACAATAATGTTGCGTTGCTTCGACTTGTCCACACAACTTTATATCACTACCGGGCTTACTGCTCCGTTTGCTGAGCTTTTGCCGTTGCCCCGCAAGATTCCCAATTTTCTTTTCCAGGAGACCGTTCAATTCCACACAGAGTTTGCACTCAGCATGCATCTTTCCGGTTGCAAGAAACTGTGTTTATAACCACACTGTGCGTACAGTGCACGCGAGTACGTTGCAAAGAGCTGTCTGCTGTCGGAAACGAACATGTTTCCCCAGTACCCCCATCAGTACCCCACTCAACCTCCAGCAGCAACTCGTTTGAGCAGCCGTATACAAAACCTCCTACGGCTGTTCTGTTGGGCGGGGCTTCGAGTGTGAAACTAAGAACGGAAGGCCAAGAAGGCTACACGTGTCAAATTGTAGCAAGTCCAAAAGATTTTTTCAACTGCGCGAGGCACTTTAAGTGTCCATCGCGACCGACTCCAAATGGCGTGAAACAGACGCGTTACCGGCTGCAGCTCTAAAAGTTGCTATTGAGGAAAGAGGAAGCGGAGACTGTCCTCATTAAAGGAGCGCTGTCCATACGGACTAAGGATGCAAGAATTTTCTCTGAACATTCGAGGCTTCAGTCGGACATGATTGTCAAGCTCAACAGGGTGCAAACTGTTCTTACACCCCGCCTCGAGTTGCCCTGCATTCTGCATGGCTACTCGTCTGCTCTCACCTCCCTTGTCGAATGCAATGGCTGCAACGGTGATAGGTCATAACACCAGTAGAATGCTCAAGGGAGGGGCATCCTTCAACATGATAGGATGTTCCTCGTCTCGTGATCTGTACAGATTCAGGGTAGAACGCTCTTCCTAGCACTCTGGCATTCTCAGCCCTCACCCTGTTAATCTCGCCTTGGAGATTCCTGTTTTCTGACCTTACATCACGAAGAGCCTGCTCGCACTGCTCCACAACGCGACGCTCTTCCCGTACTGCTCGTGTCAAGTACTCGCATCTTTCCATGTACTCATCGGCTAACTTCATCTCGCTTGGGCTCATTCCTCGATCTGCCTGGCAGCCCACTTCTGCAGTTTCTTTGGCTCTTGACTTGCTGCTCATCGAAGTTGGGAAAGATGCAAACAAATCCATGCTGCACCAATCCAAAAGCAGAGAACCAAAACAGTTGTAACGCATGACGAAATCGAGGAAACTGCAGCTTCTTCTACCAGGCTCAACCCCATAGCAAGGCTCAAGCCCTCGCTGATGTCGACTCCATCTGACCCAAGAACCTGGGCCAGCACAAGCAGTACTGGCAAAATCTTCTTCAGCTGGCGCGGTGCAACTGCTCCACTTGCAGTGATCTGCCTCAAGCTCGCACGATGTTCTGCATCTGTAACCGCCTCAGCTCCATACATGTCAAGGTCCTCGGTGATGGCTCCGGCTCGTCCGAGAAGCTCACGAAGGCGAAGGCCACTTAGAGCTTTTGCGCCGATGTCAGCTGGATTTCGAACTCCAGCTATTGGCCCTGCTTTCAAGGCCTTCTCCTTTGTGGCATTCTGAACCCACATCAGGGCACAGTCCAAGTGTCTCACTCGCCCACATCCCATCCTTTGGCTGATGCCTCGTGCTGCCGCGCTGTCGCTCCTCATGATTGGCCCCGGCTGAGATACACAAGGTACTCCTTCAAATAGACAAGCTCGGTAGCCCCACTGACCATAGCGATATACTCCGACTCGCTACTGGAAGGAGCTATCGATCTTTGGCTCCTGACATAGCTCGCCAAGAGCCCACCAGCACAATAAAGGTGAACTGAACTTTTGCTCCTTCTTGAGGCCTTGCATCCAGCCCAATCATCTGTCACTGACTCGAGCACCAACTTGCCGCCTTCCTCCAGGCTACCATCCCCGGGAAATCCCAGGCAAGCATGAGCCTTCGGGCTTCGGATTAGGAACCCGATGTTGGGTGTTCGGACAAGGTAGCCCACGACTCGCTGAAGCCACTTGTAGGACATCACTGAGGGGCACGACATCTTGCTCGCCAAGACACATACTGCAAATTGGATGTCACTCCGGGTGTGGCTCAGGTAGAGAAGCCTTCCCACGCATTCCCTGGAGATCTTTGCTTTGCTCGGGCTCAAGGAAGGGCTCTTGTCTATCTCTGAGAAGGATTGATCTGCCGGAGTGTCCCTTGGCACACTTCCCACAGCCTCTATCAGCCCATCCAGATGCTTTGCCCCGCTCAACATTGCAACCCCTTCGTCGGTCTTGATGCACTTCCTCTTGAGGAACTCAAGCTCATCGCCAACATTCCGCATTGGCTCAGACACTTGCACCACCACTCTTCTGCTCCAAGCTTCAACCAGCTCTTTCCGTCCTTCAGCGGTGGACGCCACCTTCTCCTCCTCAACCTTGTCGCTTCTAAAGAGGGTTGGTTCCTTGATGAATCCGCTCATCCCCGCCTCCCCCAGCATGCTTTTCATGAACTGAAACCATTCGGAAGCTGCAATTCGCTGCCCAGGAAGGAGCCGCTCCAGGATGAACGGAATGCTGCCAGACCTTTCATCTCCAAGCAGCCGGGCATCCAGGAGCAAGGAGCTCCTGGCTCCAAGGGCACCAGGTACGAAATTCTCGTGCCACCAGCCGGCTGCGCCGGATCCAAGTAGGGCGCCAGTCTCTGACGATCTTCGTCGTGAGGACCTCAAACTGCGTAAGGTCCCTCCCCTTTTTCCGGCAGTCTCAGAACGCCCATATTCACCAGCCGATCCAGCTCCTTTCTATCGCTTTCAAAATCCAAAGCCGCCAACTCACCCTCTGGCAACGCGGGAGGTTTTTCACCCTCATATATCTCATCCTCGACTTCCTTCTCCAGGCCTGTGTCTACATCTGAGAACCACTCAGCCGGGAGGGTAAAGCGTGCTGCCAGAGGGTCTGTCAAGAAGTCGCCTTGCTCGCTTTCCTTGTTGTGGGACTGATGGTGCAGGCTGATCTTCCTCACGGACTGGTCGGGAACTTGTATCCATCGTTGAACACGGACTGGCCTTTGCTGTGGGAACTGCTTCTGCTTTCGCCTTTGCTGTGGGAACTGCTTCTGCTTTCGCCTTTGCTGTGGGAACTGCTTCTGCTTTCGCCTTTGCTGTGAGAACTGCTTCTGCTTTCGCCTTTGCTGTGGGAACTGCTTTTGCTTTCGCCTCTTCTGTGGGAACTGCTTTTGTTTTCGCCTCTTCTGTGGGAACTTCAATGGGGCTTGGGCTTCACTCAGGCTTGAGGAGCTTGATGTTTCATCCGAACCTGCTTCGTCCTGCACGGGTGGTCTCGGAGTGCCTGCAGCTATTGATTCAGCTGCAGCTCTACCAGCTGCTTTGGCCAGCTCCTCCAAGGAGGCTGAATCAGGAAGCAACGGCGTACGACCAGTGTAGAGCGGTCGCTTTCGCTTTGACTTGCTCCCACTGACCTGCTTTCTACTGTTCAGGTGTCAAGAGCACATGGGCACCGTTCTTCTCTGAAAGACCAACCCAGACCCAGATGCCCCTTTTCCACTGCAGATCGCCCTTGTACTTCGTGGGTTTGAAGAACATGACTCTCCAAAAGCCAACATCTGAGCTCGAAACTTTCGCCCTTGTAGGGCTTCGAAGGTAGGACCGCCTCGCGAACCAACGAAGAAGCGGTTGTGGACGAAGGCTGCATGACGAAGGAGCCATGCAAATATGGGCAAGTGTCCTTGTACAGCACTCTTGGTCTCCAATTGGGCCCTGAGGGTAAGAGCCCCTCTGCGAACAGTGCTGACTGCTTTCTCCACTTGACCATTGGAAGCATGAGAGCCTCGGGGTGTCACTTTTGTCCTTGTACGAAGACCGAGCCCTGCAAGCGACCACACTGTTGAGGATCTGTTGGATGGCCGGCTCCGAGTCGCCTTGAAGCACAACTTCTTCGCCACCTCCAACTTGCATGCTGAGTCGAGTGATCGCCTCAGTGCATCTTTAGAATATCGTCTTGCGTAACTGCAGTCCGGGCGGCTTCCGGAATATCCAGCATCGTACGCAGGCACTGCAGCAGAAAACTCCGGGTTATAGGAGCACTGATCGCAGCAGAGGTGCCAGCTCCTCCACCAGACATAGGCAGGTTTTGTTCAGCATCGGTATATATGCCATCCGGACCCATGCCCAAGCCATCCAGGGGGCCACTGTGAGGCACACTCATAGACTCATAGCTGAATCAGAGCCGACGCCGTTTGCAGCAACGAAGCTGAGCAAGAAAACCAGCATCATCAAGCGCCTCGAAGTGCAGCGGTGAGCCTTGTCGAGAACGGAAGAAGAAAATGTGACTGCCGCTACTGAGCAGGACACGACTCCGGCGGGCGAACATGTCATGCCATGAAAATAGCAGTCAATTTTCCCCCCAAATTTTCGCACTAGCGTAAAATGATACGGAAGGAAAAACCTCCCCTCCAGATGCCTTCCGTGTCGGCAGACCCCAAACAGATGTGTTGGCCCCAACACGAACCGTGTGGAGTCACGATCCGTTACGATCATCTGCAGAATATATAGCCCAGAATATATCTCACCAATATCCGCAGAAAATCAAGGCATCGTGAAATCAATGAATTCAAATAGAAAGAAGACACACGGATTCACAAGCACTCTTTTTGTTTCTCGAGAAGTGGCGAACACGCGACGAGTTCGGTGCAGCAAACCCCCGAATATGCCGCGATAACAGAATCGCCCCGACCGACGCGCAGCACGACCGGCTGCAAAAGTCGAAGCGAATTCCAAAAGCGACGCGGGGAACAAACACCCTACACCGAACAGCGTCCCCAAGGCAGGTGCAAGGGGAAGGATGGTGGGCAAGAGAAAATGTGACTGCCGCTACTGAGCAGGACACGACTCCGGCGGGCGAACATGTCATGCCATGAAAATAGCAGTCAATTTTCCCCCCCAAACTTTCGCACTAGCATAAAAATGATACGGAAGGAAAAAATCCTCCCCTCCAGACGCCTTCCGTGTCGGCAGACCCCAAACAGATGTGTTGGCCCCAACACGAACCGTGTGGAGTCACGATCCGTTACGATCATCTGCAGAATATATAGCCCAGAATATATCTCACCAATATCCGCAGAAAATCAAGGCATCGTGAAATCAATGAATTCAAATAGAAATAAGACACACGGATTCACAAGCACTCTTTTTGTTTCTCGAGAAGTGGCGAACACGCGACGAGTTCGGTGCAGCAAACCCCCGAATATGCCGCGATAACAGAATCGCCCCGACCGACGTGCAGCACGACCGGCTGCAAAAGTCGAAGCGAATTCCAAAAGTTCTATAAACTAGTTGCGCTTGCTAGCGGTATAGCCGGAGGCTTCAGAAGACTGCGAGCTTCGCTCCACGCTTTGTTTTCTCACGAGTGCCGGAAATCCTCACCAACGTCCACTTGAGGAAACAGTCAACGATGCACAAAAAAGGTTGATGGGTGGGATCAGGTTACCCCACCCATGACAGACCGAAGCAACGCTTTAAGCGATCCCAGAAAAGATAGGTAGAAGTACGTAGGAACAAACCAAATCGCTCCGGTCATCGTCAGCATGATGCATAGTAAGGCCTGAGTAACTGACGGATCAACTGATGCCGAGCGCCAATTCTGCATGTGAATGGAAAGTGATACATCCTCCAAGTTCTCTTTTTGATTAGGCCAAAAACAATTTGACACTGGGATATCGTTGTTGTACCCCGTAGGGACGCCTTGCAAAAGGGATTTACAAAGGCTCACATCCGGATCACCACAAAAACAGGCAAGTGCCTCCAGCGCATGCAGATGCAAGGGTTGATGCTCACGGACCGCCCATGTATTTGCATCAGTTGCCACTCCTAGGCCCTAGGCAGGAGAAGAATTCTTTGCGCGCATCTTGCACCTCCGACTCGGAGAAAAGGGGTTCAAGATTAGGCCAAGTGGCTTTAGCAAGCAGGCGTTTGGGGCCCTGCACGTCACAAACTTTCCCTAAAAGGTGTGTCCGAAGACTCTTAAGCTTATCACTACATAATGGAGTGCTCCAATCCCCACAAGAGTGGCGACCTGCCCCATCGTGGATCACCCACGGTCCAACGTCCATGGCCTTTACAGGTACTAACGCCGACGCAGTAGCAAGGGTGTGATCAATCTGTGCACCTGCAAGAAGCTGCAAGAAGCGGCCTGATGTGCAATGCAAACTCAGCAGCCAGGCATTGAGGGTACTTAGCAGTCTTACGGCTTTTGAACGAACCATCGCTTTCACGATCTGTGGAGATCCGATGTTCCAACTCAGCAATTCGGACTCTCGTCTCAGCTTCCCACGACCAGTCTACCTCATCAGAGCTCCGGGGAATCCATTCCTTCCTCACCTCATCTAACAGGACAGGTTTTTCAGAGGTCGTAATACAGAGTTCAGACAACGCCCACTGCAAGACCTAACCCTAGTTGGGGACGAGCGGGTAGAACGAGCCCTCTAGATCCCAAAGACCCTACGGGAGGGGGATTAGGGGCAACAGCGTCCTACCCTGCATGCGATGGCCTTTTTTCACGGGTGCTGCTCTGGGCGAGTTTGGCAATCAGGCCGGGCAGCTTCTCAGGCGAGAGGCTCCGGTCCTGATGCATGGCATACCCCCTCTTTGGGGGGCAATAGTGCGGCAGTGTACTGGGCTACTCCGCTTTGGGAGGCAGTGTGCTGGGCTACTCCACTCTCAAAGCAGAGAGCTGTCGGCTATGTGGAGAGTGTTTGGAGTCTGGCGTTGAGTGAGCAGGGCAAGGGAGGGCTGGCGAAAAAGATGCTCACACGCTATGCATGGCCCCAACTCGGGTTAGGTCGGGGCCAGCTGAGCCAGAAGCCAGCTGGGCGTGGGCGAACATGGGCGGTCATGATTCGTGCGTGTCAAAACACCTGGGAAACAAAAAACCCAGTGCGTTCAGACAACGCCCACTGCAAGACCTAACCCTAGTTGGGGACGAGCGGGTAGAACGAGCCCTCTAGATCCCAAAGACCCTACGGGAGGGGGATTAGGGGCAACAGCGTCCTACCCTGCATGCGATGGCCTTTTTTCACGGGTGCTGCTCTGGGCGAGTTTGGCAATCAGGCCGGGCAGCTTCTCAGGCGAGAGGCTCCGGTCCTGATGCATGGCATAACCCCACTTTAGCGGCCCGGGGCAGACCAGTGAAGTTAAGGCCTGGCACCCCCACCGCGTGTGGTCTGACCAGGCTTGTGCAGGGGACGCTATGTCCAGGAGACCTTGGCTCCATGGCACGTCAGCAGAGGCTAGGCTAACCTCATGGGCCGACTTGTGCAAGTGCGAAAGGTGCACCTGGAATCTGCGGGCATGGCTAGAGCGAGAGAACTTCGCCGGCTGAGGTCGTCAGCGTCGGTGTTCTTGGCTCCGGGAATATGGCCGATTTCCAATTCTAGGCCGCGTGCGTGGGCCCAGGAGGCCACCTTCTCCAGGAAGAAGCTAAGCGGAAAGGC